GTTCAAGTTCTGAAATACACTGATGTGCAATTATTTATGTGTGCTTGATGTGGTGTAACAAGTTAGCTTGGTACAACAGTGCCCTGGAATGTTCCTGTCACCAGTGGTCACATGGGCTTCATGGTTTTCATGCAACAAAATGAGTAGAGCTCTTAGCAGAGCTGTGGCCACCCTCATGGCATTTGTTTACACTGGTATTTTGCACTGAAAACCAGAGACATTCAAGCCTGCAGAAGTTTTTCTCAGGCATTGCAACTCCTTACAGTTGGCTCAACAACCTTGTCCTGTGTTTAAAACTGAAACTTTTTCATCTACAAGCCCTTCTATTCCAGGAAACCAGGGCAGTTGTTTCACTGCTATGGTAGCATTTGGGGACACAGAGGGACACTGTTGGCTTCATTGTACAGAACATGTGGGTCACACACTCTCCTCCTCCCATTACAACTTTGCAGTGGTTAATGAGTTCTCTGTTTTGAAAACAAAGGTTATCTTCATACCTGATGGGAACTTTTGAGTCACTTATAAAGTGACATTGTTGCTTTGGAGTTGTGTGTCCCCAGCTTTGGAAATGACTACTGTTGTCTCTGACCACTGAGGTGGCCCAGCATGGTGTTTTAGTTAGAAAGAAAGATGAAATGTCTTATTTGAACATGTGTTTTTCCTCGTGTGGTAAGCATTTTTATACCACACTGTTAGAAGAAGTGGGAAAGAAGGGGGGCAGATTCGCAGTCCTATTTTATGATGTCACTGTGATGGAATAACATATAAAATGTTTTAGCTCTTACACGTTTGCTAAATATTGTTTGTCTGCATCTTTTCTACATTTACTCACACTGAAAGCTGTTACTTTCCAGGAATGAGCGTATAAAGTTAGTAGCATGAGGTTGTGATTCCTTGATAGATGACAAAAACATTCCCTCATCTCTATTGGATTAGAATACTAACTTTATTACACTTCAAATTCCTGTCATTTTGCAGAGATCAAGCAAAAGCTGAAGTTGAGGGTATGTGTGAAAATCTTGCTTGTTGTTTGTATGAAAAAATTCAGTGATGTGCACTTGCAGAATTTACCTTAAATAAATAGGGAGTATGTGATGGGTGACAGGGACAGAGAAAAGATGGAGATAGTCTCTTGTGACAACAGACTGCTACCTGTTTTTGAGATCTAGTCTTTTGGCTATCTTAGAGGAGTGAGCCCTGTTTTGAAGATGTGTGCATAGACTTGTCACTATGAACCAAGTCCTACTCTAGGAGGTGCCAAGAGGCCACATGGACCTGGCCCTTTAGTGGGTGGAGATGTTTTCTTGGGGGCATTTGGATGCATGTTCTGACATTGAGCAAGGGTTAGCAACCACAGCCTGTGGGCCAAGTCCAGCCTCCTTCCTGTTTTTCTACAGCCCACACACAAAAATTGTTTTTTTTACATTTCTGAAAAGATTTTTAGAAATCAAAGAAAGGGAAATATTTTGAAGTATGTTAAACTTCTTTGAAATTCAAATTTCAGTGTCCATAAATAAAGTTTTAATGGAGTGAGGCCAAGTGCACTTGATTACATTTTGTCTGTGACTGCTTTATTATTGCAATGGCAGAGTTGAGCAGCTGTCACCCTGACACTGTGGCCTGTAGAGCTTCAACTGTTTACTAACTGGATCTTATACAAAATGTTTCAGGCTGAGGAGAAAGCCCAGTTAGTAAAGAGATTGTCATGCGTGCATAACGACCTGCCTTTGGATCTCAGAAACTACATTAAAAATAAAAAGACATTGTGTTTCGTATATCAGCAGTCCTGCCATCTATGAGGTGGAAACAGGAAGGTGGCTGGGGCTTCCTGGAGAGCTCCTCTTGCTAAACTCCAAGTCTAGAGAAAGACCCTGTATCTGGGAAAAGTGCTTGTTATCTGTCTCTGTGTACTTGCACTCGGTTACCCGTACCCCCAAAATGTGTTTCCCACATTGACTTAGGGGAAGACAGATTTCAGGATGGCAGGGTTTTGTTTCATTTTGGTTTGTTTCGAATGACACCAGGTTCAAGTATGGAGGCTGGCAGAAGTTGATCGTTACAGTATCTTCTTTTATTTTTAAGCAGAGATTAATAGTTTGTTCAGGTGATTGTTGGCAGCCACAGGCAAAGCCAAGTTAGACTGGGTTCCGCTTGATTTTCTGTTTTAGAAAATTCTCTCCCTGGGAGAATTGTAATGTGAGGCACCCATCACGAACGCATTCTTTGCCTTGTTCATGACCATTACACATGGTCTTCAGCTTAGGGATGATGATGATGAGGATGCCCACTATTCTGTACCACTTTCATTCCAGATTTCGAAAGTAGGAACTAACCCTCCAAACTGGAGAGCATTTCTTGATGGTGAGTGATCATAGTTACTTCGATGGAAGAACTCACAGAAAGAGCATCCAACCATCCCAAGGCTGATGGACATTTTTCTTTTTTACATTCCAATACCAGTTCCCCCTCCCTCTTCCTCTCCTCCTCTCCCTCCCCTCCTCCTCCCATCTGCTCCTCAGAGAGGGTAAGGTCTCCTCTGGAAGTCTGCTGCATTATCTCCTTGAAGCAGGACCAAGGCACCTCTCCACCCCCACACCCCTGTGTCTAGGCTGGACAAGGTATCTCTCCATATAGAATGGGCTCCACTGAGTCGGTTTGTGCGTTAGTGTTAGATCTTGGACCCACTGCATAGACTTTTCTAAGGAGTGCGGGGACCTAGCATAGGGGCCTGGATGGCCTTCAGGAGAAGACTTGTGACCATCGGCTCATGAGAAGTGTGAAAGCAGTGTTTGGTGGGTGTAGATTCTCACAACATATTTCCAGGGCTTTGTAGAGAGATGGCTGACAAGTGACTTGTTTTCTTGTCAGATCACCAAATCTGTTGCATCTTAAAGTTACTCAGGTCAGTAACATCATAATTTGTGCTTGATCCAGCTCTTCTTCAGGCCAGTCAATAAAAACAGCAGAGACCATGAAGATGAATCTCCAGAGGCAAGTTCCGGTTTAAAACACACATGAGGCTAGGCGCTCCCATCACTGACAGATGGGAGGATGCTCTCAGCTCAGAGCTAAGCAGCTCTGTGTCAAGACAGGGGATTAGAGACACTGGTCTAAGTTCAACTGCAAGAGAAGGGGTGGGGTGTCCTAGACACAGTCACTCTGCTGCCAAATGGCTCTGTAATTTGGATCTGCTTTATAACTTTGCTGAAGCCCAGTTTCCTCGTCTGGCAAATCCAGATGAAAACGTCTACATGATGTAACTTGAGAGACTAGGGGGAAATGGCTAATTTATTTCAGCACGAGTCACCATAAGAGTTCTGATTTATTGAGTTCCATCACCTGCTAGCTCTCTATTGGCTGACTGGCTTGGAGTCATTTTCCTTGCCAGCCCCTTTGACAGATCGTGCCTGTAAATATTCCTTAAAAGAGGAAGGTACCATGGTTGTGGATTGCTTTTTGGGAGCATGAGCTAGACAGGGTAAGGCTGCCTTTGAATCTGGTCCCAGTATGTTCTAAAGCTGATGTCTTTAGTCCCTGAACAGTCAGGTCCATGCCATCATTCCTTTCACACCAGCTAGACCACATTTGGATGTATTTTCTTTATTTCCAAATATGGAAGAGTGTATAAGGTAGCTTCCAATGAATTTAAGTGTTACTTTCCCATAGGGTTGTTATTAAATTTATTTGTCTTTGATGAAAATATAACTTTTATTTCATGTTTTTGACATAATTTCATTTTCCCCCTGGCTGGTTAAATCAGGAGAAATCATTTCTTCTAGTGCCAAGGACTCCCACCTCCTATTATCAGGTGTCACCTGTGATAAAGAATATGCATAGGACTAAGCCTTGGCCACCATCGTGTGTCTGGGCAGATTTTGTGTTATTTTTTCAAGTGCAACCTCTCCTGGGAAGCCTTTGCTCACTCATCCTCACACAGGACCTCCCTTGTGTCAAACACATAAAGTACAGTGACAAAAGTAAGTTCGGTACTATGGATGGAAACCAAGGGTCACAATAGATTGAGAGGCATGAATGGGTTTGTTTTGAGTCTGTAAGTCTAACAGCAGCAGAAGGACTTGCATGGGGAAGAAGGGGTGT